TAATTGCAATTATAGCCCATGTTTCGATAAATAGTATTTTTATAATTGCAAAATCAGTTCTAGTATTTTTGTATTACTAATGGTTTCAGTACTTTTAATTTTCTTTTAAAATCATTTCCATTATTTTTATAAAATTAAGAGGGAGAAATTGGCTATTTAATGCCTAGCCTATTGTTATTGCAATTTTAGCCCCAATTGTAACCCACCCCATCAGATTTTTAATTAACCCAATACCCAATACAAATTCGCCCAGTCCAATCTCCGAATAACTCGGCCCAACTTCAATTTAATCTGAGCCGTTGATCAAATGAGATCAACGGCCCAGATTTCGTTTCCTTAATTAAATTCTAACTACCCCCCCTGACCCCTCATTTCATCGAGACCGGTCTCTCTCTCTACTTGGTCTCTTCCTCTCCTCCTTCTCTATAGAACCTTCTGGTTCTTCTTCGATGGCCTTCACCATCTATCCGGCCACCTCCAGCCTCATCTCTTTCGACCACCAGCCGCCGTGAAACCTTATCTCGCTGATTCCCTCTATCCTGGAGACCCCAGGAGCCTCCACCATAGGAGATGGTCACTGAAAGCTTTGCCTGGTTTGTCTTCGGCCTTTCTCCGATGGGTTTTGGTCCGATGGTTCTATGAACACCATTATTGCTGAGTTTCACAGCCAAGTTTCTCCTACTTCTCACTGGTTTCTTATGAAACCTTAATCTCTACCCAGACCTCTTAAATCTATGTATTTTTAAACGATTTTAACTCACACCTTTATGTTTTATACTACTCTCTACTCGATCTTTACGATTGCTCAAGTTTTAAACGTTTTGTTCCCCTTTTTTCAAACTAGGGTTTCTGAACCCCTTTTCGAAATCACTTTATCTTCTGATTTTTAGTACTATATGTTTGTGTTTATATTATTTGCTTTTTTGTGTGATCTTCTGGGTTATTCTACGAGTTCTATGCTTTAATTTTGTTGTTAGGGTTCCAACCTTCTACTGTTTCTGTGATTTCTTGCTTAGGGTTCTCTGATTTTCGTGCCTATTGTGTTTAATAGGTCTAATTATTCATTGTTTACCAAATATTCTGCTGATTCTGTGCATCTCTTCGAATCCCTGATTTTGTATATGTTTTCCTTAGAAGTTTTTCACTGATTTCGAATCACTTCCTTATTTGTGAGATGCTTTCCTTACTTAGAACTAATTCCTAGTGATTTTAGTCTCATCCATGATTCTTTGACTAATTCTCAGAGTTAATTTATCTTTTTACCATATTTATGCGCATAAACATACTTTCAAATATTCAGTATATATTTTCCTTACTTAAAATATTATGTATTTAGCCCTTATTACATGTTACATGCTTTACTACTCCTATTATGGTAGATTCAGTAGTCTAAGTGATTCTTTCCTTATATGATATAACTTGTACCCATTCGAATCATGACTCTCTAATTAAAAAGAGTTTGGTCCTGTGATTGGTTCCAATTGGTATTGCTTCTATAATAGTGTACTTGTTACCCTATTCTTTACTTGTTTTCAAAACTATAAATACTCTACCCTCTGTTTAGCATAATAGACGAACAACCACACTGTTCTGAACTCTCTCTTACACACACAAGCATACTCACTGTTCTCTCTTACTTTCCTACACATTCTCGCTCGCTTCTCTTATTGACTACTGGTTACCTAGTCGGCTAAAAGCCAAGACTGAGTAACTTGTTACTCTACTATTTTATTGCTCTATACATTGCTTCTCTCTTGGTCTGCACACTACTGCTCTACTTCCCTGCACACTACTGCTCTATTATCCCACTCTCGACTGGTATGTCTGCTATTTTATTTACAACTTCCAAAACAACATGTTTTTATGCATATTGCACTTTCTCTTATTTTTTTATGCTTCTACTTATGGTTCTGCTGTTTTCATTGCAATTAGCGTGCCTCTTTGCTAGTTCATTGATGTGATTACCCTTCCCTTAATTCAGCATGTCTACTGCTTTCCTTACTTGTTTAATACAGTTCTTCCTTACCCCCTAACCCCAGTACATTATTTGCATGTATTCACGACCCTTCCTAGCTACTAAATAATCCTGAACCTCTTCCATGAGCACTTTGGGATGAAATGTGTTGTGACTGTTTAAGTTCCGAAATGTTTTCTCTGATGTCTACGTATGTGCAACTATGCTCTTACATGTGAACTACTTGTCCTCATTTCCCCTTTCCCCTGTTTGTGTTTGCTTCCCTGAATTATGTGTGATATTCTAGTTCTGAGATTGTCCTACTCACCTTCTTACAAAACTGTCACACTCTTCTATTGTTTTTCTTTCAAGAACTGATTCTATATGGATCATTTTTAAACTGTTTTTTTTCTCAACTCAATTTACTTACAACTATATCACTCACTCTCACTACTCTTAGAGATTAGGTTCTACCCCCTTCGTGTAAGCATTGCTGTGAGTACCTCTGAGTACTCACTGAACTTTGATGCACAAGGCTGGTAATTCCACACCGCACTTGTTCAACATTTTTTGGTAAATGTTTGGGTACTGGTATTGGCCAGGGACCCAATGGGGCCTTAGGGAGCTTTGCCGCAACCAGACCATGGCAAAGGCTGTGAAACTCGAAAGGAGTGAGGTTGGAAAATTGGGCCGGGCTGAAGGCTCCCTATAGAATAACTTCTTATTTTTTATTCTTTATTACTGTAATTCGGCTATCCTTGGTTTGTAATAATTTGTAAACGAATGATTGGGGTCGAATAGTGAATATGGGAGGGGTTATGCATGCTTAGTTCAAGTAATGGGTAGAAAACATGCTTATAGGACTTTATTTACCTACTTGCGCAATAGATATCATGTATAGGACATGCATCTCACATATTAGTAATCCTGTTTTAGGCTCTTTACTTTCAGTCTGTTATTATACTCATTTCGTAATCACGATTAGTTAATAACCAACAAGTAACTGTTATAAAATTACTGCTGCATTCTCATTAGCATTTAAAGACCGTGTTTTAGGAGCTTCTATGTGCATTAGACATCCTGTTACTTGGGGTTTTTATTTTTTCTGAGTTGCAATTGTTGAATGCCTCACCAGTATGTTTAATCTAATAATACAAGTTTGGTTAACTGTGTCCTTTTAAAACTGGAATTAATATGCATGTTCTCCCCTTTTAAGGTAAATAGGCAACACATACGACGCCTAGACAAACTTTAGGCCTAATAAGAATCGATTAATCATGTTTTACCAGTTTAAGACCAATCAGCCTCTTATAATTCTGAACTCTGCTGCTCCCATTCTTGCTGAAGTTCACTCTTTTTTAAAAAAAAAACTCCCGCTCTATCTGGAAACAAAATCTTGAAATTGTGCATCTATTTACTCTCAGTGATTTTCTGATTCTTGTTCTATTATGTTTTCAAACTACTGGGTTACCATTCTCTGCCCAGAATCGTGCTATTTTGAATACTTGTCCAGCACCTCGTTAAGCTACTGTCACTACTTGATTTTCAAAAACCATGCTTTAACGATTTTTTT